GTGGCCCGCGTGTAAAGGAGGGGGAGGGGGAGGGGAGGGGAGGGAGGCCGGGCGGGAGGGAGAGCTGGCTCTGAGGTTTAATCAGTAGCATCCAGCTTAAATTCCCCCAAACGGCGGTTCCATAAATCAAACTTCTTTTTAAATCGGAGGCCAGAGCATATGCGTCCCATTAGGAACCCAGCGAAGCCACCGCTGCGCCAACGTGCCCCTCGGCTCCCTGGGCCGGGCCGGGCCCTGCCTAGAGCTGCCCGGAGCCGGGCGATCGCTGGCCCGGCCGATGCACAGGCGCGCCCACGCTCCGCGCCGCTGCCCGGGCCGGGACCCCGGGGCACACCCGGGTGAGAGCCGCGCGCGCACTCTGCTCCCCCTCACCCCCAGGTGAGGAGCGGGCCGGGCCGGGCCAGGCGGAAGGCGCGAGACACCGCAGACTCCAGGGCAACTTGGATGCTCTCAGCCTGGAGGGGAGCGGCGTGCACGTGTGCGCCCTTGTTCCGCGGGGGGCGGGGGCGTGCGTGGGACCCTCTCAAATGTGGCCCCACAGTGTGGGCCGCGTGGGCTTATATGGGGAGGGGACAGCGCTGGTCCAGGACTCAGCTGGGCGCGCAGGGCATCTCCGCCCCGCCCCAGAGCCCTCCGGCCTTCGCGCCCGGTGCCTGCAGCCTGGCCGTGGGGGATAATCCCCTCTCGGAAGCCACCTTTGCTCGAACCCAAACCACCCCGTCTCCGCCAAAGCCCTCCGCCCCGCCCCGCCCTCCACCTCGGGGGCTTAGGCAGCCAGGCGACCCAATGCCCCCCGGCTTTTGCGCGCGCTGGACACCGGCGCCCCGCCCAGGACCTCCCAGCCTCGTTCCCTCCCGGGGCTCCCGCACTCCAGGCTGAGCAGTCCCCGCCCGCCGCCCCGTGCACTCACAGGTAGCTGCCGCTGGACAGGAGGAGGAAGATCTGCGGGCAGTACACGGAGAGCAGCGCGCTGCGCGGCGACAGCAGCCGCATGGTGGGCCGGCGCTCCCGGCGGGCTGGGCAGGCCCCGCGGGCAGGGCGCCTGGGCCAGCGGAGGCCGGGGTCTCCAGGGCCCTCCCCGAGGAAGGGCGGCGGCGGCGGGCGCTAGGGACCCTGGCGTGCGGGTCCCGGCGCAATGGTCGCCGGTGCCCCGCCGCCAGGGCTGCGCATCGCCCTGGGGCTGGAGCGCGGGGAGGGGGTGGGGCCGGCAGGGGACACCGGGGAGCCTCAGCCGCCGAGACTGGACCTCCGTCCGTGGATCCGTCGGAACCGGCTCTGTCACTCGCTCTGCCTCACGTCTCCAAGTCCCCGAGGCACGCAGCTGCCATTGGCCGGGCTGCCCCTACATCCGCCTCCTCCGCGGGCGGGTGTTTTAAAGGGGAGGCTGACCCGAGCGCGCGGCGGGAGCCGCCCCCAGGGCTTGCCCAAACCGCCTTGGCTGGGACCCCTTCCCCGCAACTGGGGCGAGCCACAGGGCTCTGGCTGGGCCGGAGGGTGCACCTGGGGGGGCGCGCCGCGGGGTGACCGCGCGGGGGCGTCCGCTCCCCGGGGCTGCGCTGGGCAGTGTGTGCTGTGTGCATGTGCCTGCATGTGCCTGTGCGCCGGCAGGGGCGTGGGCGCGTCCCGGAGGGCGCAGGTGTGTGCACACAGATGCACTGTGTGTGCTGCGCCTCTGCCTGCGCGCCCTTCACTTTGGTGAGCCTGGCTGTGGGTCGCAGGCCCTCACTGCTCTGGCCAACCAGGCCCAGCCTGGCAGGGCTCACCTGTGCACATGCGCACTGCTGTCTGCAGGGCCGGCCTCTGGGTCTCTTGGGAGAGGCTGACAGTGGGAACGCACCCCCAACAGGTGCACAGAGCCCCCAGCTCTGGCTCCGCCGCCCCCCCCCCACACACTCACACACACTCCTTTTGCTGTCTCTTGAGGGGCTGATTGCAGGAAGAGTGGGACACACTTTCCTGAACAATCCTTCTTCCAGTGATTTTTTTTAAGCCCAGAAACACGGGTTGAGTTCCACCTGCTATTGTCTGTGGAGCGTGGCTACACCTCAGTGTTTCTCTAGATGCAGTGTAGCCCCTCTAAGCTGGGGCAAAGGCTTAAAGCAGGCGAGGTGACCCGAAAACAGAGGCCTCAGCAACATGGCGGGGGTGGATTTTGGGGATCCAGTCGCCTCCGTCTCTCCCTCTGCGGAGACACACCCAGCACCAGGAGGGGGGCTGCCTCTCCTCTCCATTCTTCCGGGTCCAGGGCTCTCAGGCCCCTTTGCCTCTCCGGCCCCAAGGCCAGGCGGCAGGCCTGGAGCAGGGCTGGTCTTGGGACTTCATGACCCTGGTTCCCGGGGACAGAGGGGACCTCAGGCTACAGCGGGTCCTCCGGGCCCTGGCTTGGCCTCTTCGGGGCTGGAGCTCAGGGCCGCTCAGTACCCAGCTGAGAAATGGTGACTCCCTAAGGCCGATGGCTTCAGAATTGTGCAAACCCAAGGCACAGCTGGCCTTGGGACTCCAATCCCAAGGGATTGAGGGCCTAGTTCTCCATCCCTGCTGGTCTGGGAGCCCTCCCAGGGGCTGAGACCCGCGCTGGCTGAGGGCGGGGGGGGGGGGGGGTACTGTGTGTGCACAGTTGTGGGCAGGCAGGGTGTGATCACGGAATATCCCAACACATACCACCTCTCACCTGGGGCCCACTCCTCCGATTCTGAGGCCCCAGAAGTGCTGTGGAGGCGCCCCAGGGGTCTGTAGTGGCTGTGAGGTCTCGGGCATTAACAATAAGAAATGCTGGGCCAGTGTGAGGGGACACCCCCCCAATCCCACACAAAGGGCCCCAGGACTAACCTTCACAGCACCCAGGAAAGGAGGCGCTACTGTCACCCCATTTTTAAGATGAGGGCAGGTGGGCCGGGCAGTTAAAGAGCTCAGCCAAGGCCACTGGAGGAGGGGTGTAGGGGGCACTGCCCACCCAAACCACCTCAGTGCACAGGGCTCCCAGGTCATTTAACCCCTGAGGTGACAGGGGTCCTCCTCCTCCCCCTCTTTCCTCTCCCCTCCCCCCCAAGATCAAGGAGGGGAGGGGAGCTGGTGGCAGGGGCTGAGCCCCCCTTGGACCCTTAGTGGATCCCACAGTGCCTCTGGGTCTCCCTGCTCTCCAGGAAGGAGAGTGTGTGCTTTGGGGGGCACCCGGGAGGATGTTCCACTCCAGGCTCCTTGATGGGAGCGGAGGGCAGGGCCTGAGCCCGGGCCGCTCTCTGGACCCGCTCTCTCTGCACGCCCAGCGGCTGTCGCGTGCCTGGGTGCACAGGCCGGTCTCCCAGGCCCGCTCTCCCTACCCCCGCACTGGCCACCACCGCGGTCAGATGGCCGAGCACAGTCCTGTTTGCAGGGGGGCAGAAGGTTCATGGCATGGGGGTTGGGGCAGGAGGCTCATGGCGGGGCAGGAGGCTCATGGCAGGGCAGGAGGTGGGGGGGCAGCCCTGGGAGCCCAGGCTGGGCACTGAGAGTGGGGGGGGGGGGGCGCACAGAGCCCTCCCTGGGAGCGGTTCTCAGGGCTCCCATGGGGGAATGGGTGCTGGGAAGGGTGCTCCTCGGAGGCCAGAGCCAGCTCCCGTCCCAGCTGGGTCCCTTACTCTCCTGGGCAAGTGGCTTGGCCTCCTCGCTGGGTGTCCGAGTCCTTAAACACAGGAGTCAGGGCACTGACCTCCAGGGAGGGCACCCTGGTGCTGCGCAGCGGGCTGCAGGGGGCCTCATTAGGGTGCCCATTCCTTTGGGGGGCACAGGAAGAGTAACTGCAGGGGCTGCTGGAGAGTCCAGAAAACGGTCTCCCTCCCCCCTCATCCCCCCAGCAGGCTCCCTGCGCGAACCTGCACCTCCATAAACAAACAGCCCGGGACGGAGCCTCCACGCAAACCCGGGAACAACACGCGGCCAGGCGAGGCCGGGCCAGGGCTTCCCTCCTGCCCTCACCCGCCTCAGTTTCTCCAGCTGTGAGACGCCGGAGGGGGCCGTGGACCGAGGTTCTCCCCCCACGGGGAAGCCGCGTCTCCGCCGGCACCTGGCTGGGCGCTCCCTCCGGCTGCTCGCGGGCTTTGCCCACCGCCGGGACCGCCTGCCTGGGGCTGCCCGCGGCGCACAGTAGGCGCGCTGGGAGCGGCGGGGTGCGGGGCCGTGGGCGCCCCGGCGAGCGCACCGCTCCCCCCCCCCCCCCTTCGAGCGAGGCCGAGACAGATTCTGTCTAAAGGAGATCGCGGCTCAACAGGTAAGGACTCGGCTGGGTTCAGGAATGTGGAAATACGACTCGGAGCAGCTACTGCTGCGAGCGCGGCCCGCCGGGCGCCCGCCCGCCCGCCCGCCGGGCCGCTCGAGGGGGAGCGCGGCGAGAGGGGGCCGGGCCGAGGGCCCCGGGAGGGCGGGGGCGCGGAGCCCGGACCGAGCCCGAGGCGGCCCCGGCGGCCCATCCCGAGCCAGCCGGACGAGTTGTCAAGGTAATTTCAACACGTCCGGGTGATGGATAGAGACGAAGGGCCGTGGCGGGTGCACCGGCCTGCGCGCTCGCGGGCGGGGTACGCGCCCCCCCGCGCTCTGGGGCCTCCCCAACCGCCCGACCCCCCCGCCCCCCGCCCCGGCGCGCCCTCCGGGCGGCGAGCGCTCGGCCCGGGCTCAGCGCCCAGCGCAGCCCGGGGGAGGGAAGGCGCGTCCCACCCCCGGGGCCTGGAGCCCAAACAGGTGAAAGTACGCGCCGGGCACGCTCGCCGCTACCCGCCAGCCTGCCCGCGGCCGCCGAGCGCCTGCTCCTCCCGCAGCCCCGGGCTGGGCGCCCTCGGAGGACCCTCCGCTCAGGGGTTCGGCTGCGTCCTGGCTCGGCGGCGGCGAGGAGCCAGCACCCAGGCCAGCCGGGATCCCGGAGAGCCGCCCAGGCCCCCGCCGGTCCCGACGTTCCCGCGGGAGACCCTGGAGGCGGCTCCTGCGGCGGCCCGACCCCCGGCCGCGGCCCGGCCCACGGCGTTACTCACCCGAGCTTCACGTAGAGGACGCCAAAGCAGAGAAACACGTAAAAAATCCACTTGCGAAAGTTTCTGTGCATGATCCAGGGCGGGGGGCTGCGCCATAAACAGCGGCGGCGGAGGGGACGCGGCGGCGGCGGGCGGGCGGGGGCTGGCGGACCGCGCTCAGCCGGCGCTGCGGCTCCGGCGGCGGGCGAGGCGCGGGCACTGGGCGCGCGCTGCCACCATGGTGAGCGGGGCGCCGCCGCCGGGGCCGGGGAGTGACCGAGGCTCGGGGCGCAACCTCGCCGCCCCACTGAGCGACCGCGGAGCCCCACGAGCGCCGGCGGGGACCCGGGCCGAGCCCGAGCGCGGCGGCTGGGCGGGCGCTGCCTGTCCTGGGCGCAGCCGCCTGGGGCCGTGCGCGCCTCGCCGAGCGCCTCGGCGGCCAATGTGTCCGCACTTGTCGGCCTCCCCAGGTGACTCGCGGCCCCGGCAAACGAGCTGCGAGGGAGCGAGCGCGCCCCAGGTAGGAGGACCCGCCTCCCGCCCGCCCTCCTCGCTCGCTGCGCGCTCTCTCTCCCTCGCTCCCCGTCTCTCCCCTCCCTTTTCTCCTCCCTCCCCCGTGACACACAGACGCATCCACCCCCCCACCCCCTCCCCAGGCCGGCTCCCTCCCGACTGTCCTCCTGGGACGGGGCTGGGGGAGGGAGATTGGGTGCGAGGGGGGGGGGCGGGGGAGGGCGCGGCTCGGAAGAGACACCTGCGCAGGGGCTGGCCGGCCTCTTCGCCTGCGGGGTGGGGGTGGGGTGGGGGCCGGGAATGGTCAGTACAGATCGTGGAGGCCACTCAGCCTCCAGTTTCTGGTGGGGGAGGGAGAGACCACCCAGCCACACCTTGGTCCTGGCGCTCCCCCTCCCCCAGCACGGGGTCCTCGGGGCCACACCCTTCGCCAGCAGCGCGGCCTCCCGGCAGACCTGGATCCCAGCCCCCCCGCCAGCACCTGTCAGCACTGCTACCGCCCGGCCCAGACGGGAAGGGACGGCCGGTGGGCCAGATGCAGGGGGAGGCTCAGATGACCTGCGGGAGCCCTTCTACTAAGTAGTCCATGATAGAGACAATTGGAGGACAGCGGGGCACTTCCCAGACTTTGAGGGGAGCTCCAGCCTTCGGGGGTCCCTGCCTCCCCTCCCCAGCCCCCGGCCCCTATCGTCTTTTTGGTCCCCTGTGCTGGGCTGGAGAGCGGGAGGTCAGACCCGCCGGCCGGGGCCTCACACACCTGGGCCCAGGGGAGTGAGTGGGCGCCAGGCCCGCAGGCCCAATGAGCTGAAGCCCTGGCTGTTGGGGGTGGCAGGGACAGCGACCAGGAGCCTAACCTCGGGCCTGGCTGGGCCCCTCTCCTGCTCCCGGGCGAGTGGATGGAGCTGGGGAGAGCTTAGGCCCCTAGGACCAACTGGGACCCAGACTCGCCAGCGTGGGAGTATTGGGGGAGGGGGTGCAGTCACCCTTGGCCCCACCCAGCCGAGCTCAGGCAGGGACCAGGAGCTCAGAGCCGCCCTCCCCCGCCCCCTGCAGTCCCCCTCGACCCCCGGCCCCTGATCCCCTCTTAATCCTTCAAATCCCCTGAACCTTTGCCATGACCCGGGCGTGGCCGTTCGGGCCCCTCGATCGGAGGGGGGCCTGCAGCTGTGCTGAGCCGGGAGGACGCCGTGTTCCCAGGCGCATGGAGTTGGAGACAATCACAGGCAGGGAAACTGAGGCACAGAAATACGTGAAATGACCGTAGCAGCCTCACCTCCGAGTGCCCCCTGCGCAACAGAAGGCTGAACTCTGGAGACTGGAGGGTCAGGGCCGAGCCCTGGGCCCGCAGCTGCAGAGGGTCGGCGCGGGTAGGAGCGTCGGAGGAGCTCGGAGCCGCGGGCCGATGCTGCCACCTGGCGGCCACTCAGGCTCAGGCGCGGGGCCGCGGGTGCGCCGGGGCCGGGGGTCGCGGGCCACCCTGCGTCCCGGGGACTTGCAGCCGGGCAGTGTCGCCAACCTGGCACCGCGTCCGCGGGCCACCCCGCCCCCTGCCGCCATCGTCCTCCGTGTCCCTGCTCGTTAATAGGGCGAATCCCCGGGAGCCGTGGGTCTGCGGCGCGCCTTAGAGAACCACCCGGTGGGGCCTCCTCCCACCTCCGGCCTCGGCCAGCCTCAGACTCGGATTGCAGGGACCCCCATCGCCCACCGTGTCCCCTCCCGATGGGCTCTGGAGGGTTGGGGCCGGGAGATGAGAGGGTTACCGGCCGCGGGCGGGACACCTGGTCGGTTCACTAACTCAGCTTCGCGGCGTCCTGCTGCCCCCTGCCGGCTGCGGGAGGGAACGGCGCCGGGGCCAGGTTCAGTGACCACTCAGGGGACCTGCTCCCCTCACCGGGTTGTTTTTCTCTGGCGTATGTGCATGCATACACACATGCACACATGCATGCACACATGCATGCATACATGCAGGGAGCAGACGCAGCTCCCCGGCTCCCAGGGCTGAATCCAGGGCTGCAGGGCTGCGTGACCCCACCTGTCCTTCCTCCCAAATGGGGCTGCAGCTCTCTCACCCTGAGCAGGGGCGGCTGGCGTCCGCTCCAAGGTCCCACATCTGTTTAGGGCGGGAAGGATCGGGCGGAAGGAAGTAGAGGGGACCCTTCTGCCAGGGCTGGGGCTCGGGTTCCCACTCAATAGGGATACAAGCCAATGCCCCAAAGGCGGTAGTCTCCAGAGGAGGGCACCCTAGGGACCCCGGATGGGTCTTAGGCCCATGGGCCAAGTTCTCAACGTCTGCAGCGCGTGTTTTCTCGTCTCCATGCGGGGGGCGGGGGGGACAGTAGCCCCTGCAGTCCCAGGGCTTCTGGTAGAGGGAGGAGCTGTCCACGCAAAAGCGACTGGCAGAGGCGGGCACGCGGTCAGTGCGGGCTCAGCCTGGCACCTTCTGGCCCCTGCCTGTCCCTCCTTGGCCTCATCACAGGCCCTTGTCCTCTCCTCTCTACCGCCCTTGTCTTTCCTTTTGTCACGCAAACACATTAAGCAAGTTCCTGCCCCAGGGCCTTTGCACACATTGTCCCTTCAAGTGCAGCTCTGTCCCTGGTTCTGTGTGGCCCCCGCTTACATGTCCAATGTCAGAGGGGCCCTCACATTCCTCCCTGAAAGCACTCACTGGTATTCTGTATCGTCACACAACACTTTGCTGTCCACCGGGTGACACGGAAGGCAAATCCGTCATCATCTGTGTCCTGTCCGTCGCCAGTCGGTAAGCTCCATAGGGACCACCTCCCTGTCCGCTCTGATTCCTGCTCTGTCCCCAGAGGGTAAGATTGGCCCTGGCATATAGTAAGTGCTCAATAAACCATTGTTGGGTGAATGAATGGTTTTCCAGGAGGCGGCTGGCATCCAGGGCCTGCAATGTTGCAAACATGGAGACCAGGGACCTGACAGTGACTCCTTTGAACCTCGAGTTTGACCTCAGCCACCATCCCCAGCATCCGGCACCCCCTATGCTGGCTGCCTTTCCCCTGCTTCTTGTCTCTGGCTTGATGGACAAGCGTTTCCTGTGCCCCCAAATTTCTACTCAGGTTACACTGGACGTGTATTGAGCCCCTTCTAGATAAGGAGCGCGTGCTTGCCTGATGGGCCTCAGGCGGCCTTGTGATGATGCTGCTAAATCCATTGCACAGATGAGAAAACTGAGGCCCAGAAGGAAGGGCTTGGCCGAGGTCACACAGTTGCTGGGATTGGGGCCCGGGCCATCGGGCCCAGAGCTGGGCTTCTTTCACTTCATTCTCACCCTCTGGGGAGGCGGGGCCTGTGCCTCGGGAAGTCGAGCCCCCAGTTGAGGGGTGTGGTGCGAGCAGAGGACAAGAGGCCACAAGGACCCACTAGATCAGCCGTGGGCAAACTACGGCCCGCGGGCCGGATCCGGCCCGTTTGAAATGAATAAAACTAAAAAAAAAAAAGACCGTACCCTTTTATGTAATGATGTTTACTTTGAATTTATATTAGTTCACACAAACACTCCATCCATGCTTTGTTCCGGCCCTCCGGTCCAGGTTAAGAACCCATTGTGGCTCTCGAGTCAAAAAGTTTGCCCACCCCTGCACTAGATGAACCCCAGGGGGAGTGAGGTCCCTGAGGGGGGCCTGGAGAGGAATGGGGGTGCAGGGGTCAGAATTCTAAATGGCCCCCAAGAGGCCCTGCCCTGATCGCAGGGACCGGGAATGTGGTGATGCGATACCCGTGAGCATGCCGTGTCACGTGGCAAAAGAAGTGATGAGGTGACTGATCAGCTGACTTTGAGTTCATCACAAGTAGGTCTGGCCCAATCACATGAGCCCTTTTTAAAAAATATATATATATATATGTTTTTATTGATTTTAGAGAGAGGGTGGGAGAGGGAGAGAGAGACAGAAACATTGATATGCCCGGCCGGTTTGGCTCAGTGGTTGAGCATCAACCTATGAACCAGGAGGTCATGGTTAGATTTCCCCATCAGGGCACATGCCCGGGTTGTGGGCTTGATCCCCAGTGTGGGGTGTGCGGGAGGCAGCTGATCCATGATTCTCTCTCATCACTGATGTTCCTATCTCTCTCTCCCTCTCCCTTCCTCTCCAAAATTAATAAAAATATATTTTAAAAAGAAAAGAAATACTGATGAGAGAGAATCATCCATCGGCTGCCTCCTGCATGCCCCCAGCTGGGGATCAAACCCACAACCTGGGCCTGTGCCCTGACCGGGAATCGAACTGTGACCTCCTGGTTCATGGGTTGACCCTCAACCACTGAGCCACGCCGGCCGGGCAGGTGAGCCCTGTAAAAGCAGTTTTCTTTGGCTCCCAGCAGAGGGGCAGTCAGAGGGGTTCAGAGTGTAAGCTGGCCCTGCATTGCCAGCTTCGAAGGCGGAGGGGCCTGGGGTGAGGAGCCCAGGTGACACCCAGGCGCCGAGAGCCACCCCGGCTGCCAGCCAGCAAGGACGTGGGGACCTCAGCTCCGGAGCCGCAGGCCCTGCCTCTGCCCCCAGGAGCCTGGGTCCTTCCCAGCCCCAGGTGAGGCGCACACACGGGGACCCTGAGCAGCGCCCCCTGCGGACATGCTGCCGCTGACCCGCGGTACGGTACGGAGCGCAGCCCTGAGGATTGAAACACACACAGCCCGCTCCGCCTGCGGACTGCAGGGCAGAAACCCAGATGGCCGACCGGCTGCTGGCGCTGCAGCGCGGGGCCCAGGGCGAGAGACCCGAGAGGCGGGCTCAGACTCTGGGGGCAGAGGCGGCTTTATGGGCGCTGGGCGCCATGGAGGACCGGGGAGGCGGCTCGGATGGTGCATCTCCGCTGCCCAGGCTGGCTCCTAGGGTCCCGGGAGGGGCCGTCAGCTCGCGCCCTGCCACCCGCCCTTTGGACTCGCACACGCGGCTGAAGGTGCCGAGTCCACGTCCCAGATCCTCTTCGTTGTGCGCGGTTTGCCGAGTCCCCTGGGGGTTCCCAGCCCCCTCGGGGGGTAGGGCCCTCGTGCGGAGGGTGGCCCCTAGGGGAGGCACGGGGCGCTC